AAGTTGGTCCCGCAGCCCCCGCCCCTCAGCGCTGTGGGACCAACCTGGCAGCACCCCAGCTGCTCTGTCCCAGGTGTCCCGGATTCAGCCACTGCTGAAACTGACCAGCAGCGTCTGAATCGGGGACGCCTGGGGCAGAGCTGGACTATCGGAAGGGGGGGGTTAGAGGAGTCTGAGGTGGCATCTCCCCCCCACCCCAGACACGTCATATGCCAGACTATTGGAAGGGGGGCTATCTGATAATCCGGCACCCCCTGGGTGCTAAAGGTGCCGGATTATCGGAAGTTTACTGTAAAGAGGTCTACTGATAAATTCAAGGATTGCGTTGAGATCATGAGTGGTAAACAAAAGAAGTGTCGAACTAAAAAAAACAACGAGCCAAAATGGGTCTATATACCTGTGACAGAGGCACAAATAAAAGCAATGCCTTAAACAGCTCCATGTTAGTACAAGTTTTCCAGGTCTAGGAGCGGTTTAAAACACTGGGTGCTATGAAGTTTTTTCAGGAGTATGTTTCAAACAAGAAACAACTCAGTCCAGAGACCGAAGATCCAATTTTCTCTCTTTGCTTCTTTTTTTCTCTCTCCTTTTGTGTATGTTTGTCTTGTTTTGTCTTCTTAGGAAATGGGATTGGATTTCAATGGCACCAGCAACTGCAGCACATTTCAACTAACGTATTTTCTAGTCTAGAAAGGACAGTTATTACCATTTTAAATAGCATTTAAGACACTGTCAAACAAAAGGATTTCTTTTTTCTAAAAACTCTCCAGCTAAAGAGAAAAAGCAATGTTGCTAAAATAAAAGCCTTATTTAATATTTCACATTTCAAATGCTTTAACCATTTACAGGTTAAAAAGATTCTAAGTGTGTTTACAATGATATTAAGCAAGCTGAGTCTGAATACCAAACCCTGAACCTTGTTTAATGGTGGGCAGTAACTGGGTTATGTTAACATCTCTCTTTGGACCCATTTATTCCATCTAACTCGATATACCTGAACCAGTGCACACCATGCACTGATCACTTCATCATGAATTAATGCCTGGCTTACTCAAACTCCCAAGTCAAGTCATCTCAAAACACCAGTCCACTAAGGCATCAGCATCAAGCTTTATTAACCTTGCTAATAACAGTGCCCTAATGCTAAAAGATTCTCACTGGCTCCCTGTTTTCCACAAACATCAGTCTCCTCACCTTCTAGGCCAGTGGTCTCCGACCTTTTTACACCCAAGATCACTTTTTAAATGACAGAACAAGCCAAGATCTACTGCCGCCCCTTCCTCCTTGATAAAAATGAGTAAACCTGTAGCACTTTAGAGACCAACCAAAATATATATAGCATCATGAGCTTTCATGGGCAAAACCCACTTCTAAGGAGTAAGGTTCCTTATATTTGTTAGTTTCTAAGGTGCCATAGGACTACTCATTGTTTTTAAAGTTATAGACCAACATGGCTACCTCTCTGAGACTTTTTCCTTGATAATACTTCATTTTTTAGGAAAGAGCACATTTGCTCTGCCACTAAAAAGCTGTTGCAGATGAACCGTGATTCCACATAGCACCAACAACGCACTGCAGGTTCAAATCCCAAACCAAGCAACAACAGAGAAATGGCACGGGGAAGACTGACAAGAAGAGGGCTCTCCTGTTGGCATAAAAACCCCACATCTGAGAATAGCGGAAACTATGTCAGCGGGGAAAGCTTTCCCACTGACATGGAGCTGTGCACGCAAACGTTTATGTTGGTGTAACTTAGTTACTCGGGGGCAAGGGGGTGGGGTTGGGGTACTAAGCAAGCCACAGGCTTCTGGGTATGAGGGTGCAGAAATTTGGGTTGGCGTATGTGAGGGGCTCAGGGCAGGGGGTTTCAGTGTATGATAGGTTAAGATCTAGGGTCTGGGGGAGTGCAGGAATGTTATGATGCTGTGGGCAGATGGGGGCTTGGCCCCAATTGGGGGTTTGTTGGCCAGGCTTCATTTTTAAATAAAATACTGTATCAAACACAAAAAGTTTCTGCATTGTCTTTATTTATGAGAAGGGCAGGGAACCAGTTTTGAGTCAGGGGTCACTGACCCACAGAAAAGTCAGTTGGGGCCACACAAGTGGATGCAAAATAAAACTCCTCCAAAACCCCCACAAGCCTCATTAATGTGGCCCCTGCTGTACTGGTGGGAGCAGGAGGCATGATATTGGGGAAGGGTGCCAGGGGGTACAGGGACAGGGTAGGGTGCCAATGGGTGGGGCAAGGGACAGGGTGCTGGGGCAGGGTACTTTCGGGGGTTTGGGCAGGGGGAGGGGACAGGGACCAGTACCTGGGGATCCTGCAGCTGCAGGCCAAGGCCCAAGAAGTGAGTGGGCTGCTCCCCCCAGCCCTAAACAGTAGCACAGTACCTGAAACACTGGTTCATTGTGTAGCCTGATGCCTTCCTGTGCGGGCTGGGAACGGGGGGATGGGGAGCCCTGGACCACGCCGGCTCCAGCTGGCATGCTCGAGACTTTATTCCCCTCTTCCTTGGGGAGTGGAGGGGAGGAGGAGAGTCCCAGACAGCCCCAACCTAAAATGCCGGTCCATCGCGCGCTGGGGACTTTGTTCCCCTTCTGCCTTTCTGCGCGCGGGGAAGGGGTTGGGTGTCAGGGACAGCAGTGGCTCTGGCTGCTCAGGTAGCACGTGCTGCCATGGGGAGGGGAGGAGTAAGGCACAAGCTTCCCGAGCGGTTGTGGTTGGCATGGTCTGGGACTCACCCCTCCCCCGCAGGCAGGCACCAGGGGAATAAAGTCCTCAGCACACTGGCTCCAGCTGCTCAGGCAGTGGGAACAGGGAGTCCCAGACCACGCCAGCCCCAACCACTTGGGCAGCAATTGCTGCCTGAGCAGCCAGAGCCAGCGCAGTTCAGGACACCCAACCCCTTCCCTGCGCACAGGAAGGCAGCAGGGGAACAAAGTCCCCAGCGTGTAACGGGCCGGCATTTTAGGTACCGTGCCAGCTGTTCGGGGGGAGGAAGAGCAGCCTGCGCACTTCCAGTACCAGACATGTGGCTGCTGGGGACTTTATTCCCCTGCTGCCTGCCTGCGGGGAAGGAGGGAGTCCCAGCTCATGCCAACTGCTACCGCTCGGGAAGCTTGCGCCTTACTCCTCCCCTTCCCAAGGCAGCACGCGCTGCCTGAGCAGCCAGAGCCGGCGTAGTCCCGGACACCCAACCCTTTCTCTGTGTGCAGGAAGGCAGCAGGGGAACAAAGTCCCCAGCGTGCAACGGACCAGAATTGTAAGTACCGCACCGGCTGTTCAGGGGGGAAGAAGAGCAGCCCACACACTTCCTGTACCAGGCGCGCGGCTGCAGAACTCTCCCCACCTTGCTGGAAGCCCGCACTACCTCCGTTGTTCCTGGAGGTAGCATCAGCACGGCATTCATCTTGGGGGGTGGGGGCAGTGAGGGGCCCCCAAAAGCCTCGTGATCAACCGGTCAGACCCCCAGGATTGACGAGTAGATCGTGAGCAATGCGCTGGTAACCACGGTTCTAGGTTCAACTCTTACCACCCAGGTTCCTGATTCCCATCTCTCACACAATGTCGTTTATCATCAACCCTGTGGGCCTCTCCTTGCCTAACTGCCCCCTCACCCACAGTTACACATTGTTAGACCACTTCTATTACCCTGCTGCCACCCGTTGCAAAATGATCACACTGTTATGTTGGAACAATATTAGCTCAAGGGACAATTTACATAATTTAGATATTCTAGAAGACAAACACAACTGAAACTGAATTTACAAAAGATTAGCAAGTTTGAAAGGTCAAACTCACAACATATAATTGACACAAAGCAAAAGAATACCTGACTGAAGACATAAGCCAGTCTCCCATTAATACAGCCTTGGCCAGTTACCACACTGTCTCCAGGATACTGCATGAAAGAGTAAAGAACACGTAGGTCAGAGCAGTAATCAGATTCATTAAAATAATTATATCAACGTCTTCTGAATTCACACCCAAAGTATTTGTTAGCCTGGGAATGGGGCTGTCTCTTTTTCTTTGTTTATGGTGGTCACAAGCAGTCCCCAATCCCGATAAGGACATTTTGGGGCTACTATAATATAAGCAATAAATAAAACTTAATAGGGAAAAATGATGAGAACTCTGTAGCTTTGTTTAAACTTCAGAAAATTGAGGTGTTAATGTGACACTGAAACTAAACATTAAAATGCAAGGAAACACAGTTATTGGTACGCTGTGCTCCTCGGAGCCCACCAATGCCAACTAGCATGCATGTCAGACCTGACACACTCATTATCCCCAACACGCTGTGATCATAACACGTATCTAAAAGCTGTCAGGTAAGGTACCATATGTAAACTGGCCACATGCGGTTCCTGAAAATAAAAATCATGGTGTAATATATATGGATTTTATTCAGATGATACGGGCATACTGGAAATATTTTCTTAAATAGATTTGGAAGATAGGGCACGTCATGTGCTTACTCATGTGTGAACACAGCCCGGGGCCTATCCTGCCACGCCACCAGATCCAGCCCGTGGATACCGGAGACTCACTTGGGTGACTCCCAGCAGCCCAGCACATTTCTCAAGCAGCTCACTGCTTGTCCTGCCCCTCCATACGCTGCTCAGAAAAGTGGCTGCCTGGCTGTTTGTCTTTCATAGCTCTGAGCCCAGGGGAAGGGGGAGAGGCTTCACCCGCTGTCCCTGCCCCCAGCACAATCATACTGGCCAGTTTCTGGCCAATGGGAGCTGCCTGTTTGAAGAACAGGCAGTACGTGAAGCACCACCCCCAATCCCCTCAAGGCTTGTAGTTAATTCACAGATGTACATGGCCCCTGAAGCCAGTGCAGGGGCAGAGCAGTCAGGGAATCTGCCTGAGAAACATGCTGGGCTGCTGGGAGTCACCCAAGTCTCCTGGCCAAAGCCTGCCACCGGCACCCCAGCCCCTTCTCCCCCCAACCCTCTGCCCACCCCAAACTGCTGCTCCCTCCCAGCCTCTACACTCCAATCCTCTGTCCTAGGTCTCAACCTCCTCCTGCTCTAGGTCACAACCCAAATGCTTGTACCCCAGGTCACAACTGCCTCCTTCACCCAAACTCCCTCCTAGACCCCACACTCCTACCTGCACCTCAGTCCCATACCCCAAGCTCCCCTCTGCACCCAGCCTCCATCCCAGATCCCATACCTCCTCCATTAATACTATGGAAGAGTGCGGCCCTTGACCACTTTCCAAAATCTCGGAGTGTCCCCCCCCATCAAAAGTTATTACCCACCCTTGCTCTAAACAAAGGAATGGGATTCACTTGACTGTCTGGACCGCTGGCAGAGGACAATGAAAGAACATTAACATGCACCTCTAAAAAGCTATCAAGCTAACAGATTTATTCTTTTATTACAAAGCCATCTCAGCACTGTGTCCTGAAGTCAGAGTTAACCAAACAAGCTGGCATTTGCTCTGACCTGGAGGAGGGATGTAGGAGGGGGTGCAGGGCCTGGGAGGCAGTTGTGATCTGGGGCAGGTGTGCAGGAGGGACTACAGGGGTTTGGGTTGTGACCTGGGCAGAGAGTTGGGAGAAGGGTTGGGGTACCAGGGGAAGAATCTGGTCGGGAGGCACTTACTCTAGGCAGCTCCTGGCCAGCAGCCCAGAGGAACCTTCTGGCAGACTCCCTCTCTGCTTCATCCCCATACGCCACTCCAAGCAGCTGGCTGCAAGGGCCATGTGTGTGTCTGTGTGCCACATGCCCCTTTTAAGGGGCCCTCTACATGCTGCCTGCACTGCAAACACAGCCCAGGCAGCTCATACTGGCCTGCTGCCTGGGCTATGGGACAGCAATAGGCTGGATCTGTAGGTCTGGTGGCCCTACAGACTGTATTTTGCCAGCTCCTGCTCCAGACTATAATTAAGCCCATGTCACAGAAAGAGCTTGACATAATTGCTCTAGTACTAAGATGGACTTGTCTAAATCAAAGTGATATAAAAGACCAATTGTACTCACGTGAGAGGGAAGTAACAAAGAATAGGATTAATTGCCTTATGCCAGGACACACACACCTTACCACCTAAGATGCTTGCTGAGCAGGGGGAAGGATCGGTGTGGCCCCAGCCTCCTTTTCCCATGGTGGCCTCTGGCTGGAAACAATGAAGCCAGTGAGAGCTGTGAGGCTCTGTGGCTATGGATCCTTTAGGACAGTGTTTCCCAAATGGTGTTCTGAGGAACCCCGAGGTTCCGTGAAGTGAAAATAAGGTTTCCGCGAGAAAATTCCATAACAATAACATTTTATGATTTAAATTTGTTTTTGTACACATTAAATGTGATTTTTGTTTTTAAATATGTTCAATTAAACTAAATGTTCATCTCATGACCTTGTTTAGCATTTGTTTATTATTATCCTTATTTATCTGTGGTCTACTTTTTCAGCTCCATATATTAGACTGTTATTAGGGGTTCCGCAAAATTCTTTTGAGTTTAAAAGGGTTCCATGGCCAAATAAAATTGGGAAACGCTGCTTTAGGAGAACAAAGTGGCACAGGTCTGCTAGCTGCTGTCCCAAAGCAGGCTCGCAACCCACTTTGAGAAACACTGATCTAGAACATTCCTGGCAGGTGTTTGTCTGACCTGTTCTTAAAACCTTCAATGATAAAGATCCCACAATCTCTTTAGACAATTTGTTCCAGTGCTTAACTACCTTTACATTTAGAAAAATTTTCCTAACATCTAACCTAAATTTCCGTTGCTAGATTCTTCTAGTCTGCAGAAGAGTGAGGGGGGATTTGAGAGCAGCCTTCAACTTCCTGAAGGGAGGATCCAAAGAGGCTGGAGAGAGGCTGTTCTCAGTAGTGACGGATGGCAGAACAAGGAGCAATGGTCTCAAGTTGCAGTGGGGGAGGTCTAGGTTGGATATTAGGAAAAACTATTTCACTAGGAGGGTGGTGAAGCACTGGAATGGGTCACTAGGAGGGTGGTGAAGCACTGGAATGGGTTACCTAGGGAGGTAGTAGGTAGAATCTCCATCCCTAGAAGTTTTTAAGTCCCAGCTTGACAAAGCCCTGGCTGGGATGATTTAGTTAGGGTTGGTCCTTCTTTGGGTAGGGGGCTGGACTCGATGACCTCCTGAGGTCTCTTCCAGCCCTAGGATTGTATGATTCTTGTCCTATCCTCACTGAATAAGGAGAACAATTTATTGCCCTAAGCATTAAAAAGCACAAGAAATACCTTATTCTGATCAGACTCCATCCCAAAGTCTGCGCACCTGTGCTCCACGAACATGTCATACTCAACAAAACTGCCAGGGTCCAGCAACAGAAGAATGCGCTCCCTCGCCGTCAGCTTTCCCTGAAATGCAGCAGACAACATTTAACAGGACTGTTATCTGGTTAAACATCCTGGCAAGACAGAACTTAATACCACTGAAAGAAAACACATGAGGGTTAATATATTTATCAAAGAACTCAGAAGCACCCCCCATTTCATCCCTTACTGAAATCCAGGCTGGGGAGAACAACCAATGTGAAAGGTGCCTGCTGGTGGAATCTCTCAGGAAGCAGGTGGGAGAGCTACAGCAGGCGGTGGCTAGCTAGGCTGAGGAGCATCCGAATCCACAAGGAATTCCTTGAGAGTACTCATGTGGAGACAGCTGAGTCTGTCCGAATCCACGAGGAATTCCTTGAGAGTATTCATGTGGAGACAGCTGAGTCTAAGGTAGCTCTCCCACTACAAAAGACTGCTGACACCACTGATGGAGGAGGAGATGGCTCTGACTCAGGCAGGACACTGGCAGCTGGTCACTTCTGGCAGCAGGCAGTGCTCCACCTCTACTCCCAACCCTCCCGCCATGATTCTGGAGAACCGTTACACTGTTTTGGCCATGGGACATAAGGAATCACACCCTAAAGCAGAAGAGGAGAAGCCTTCTACCCCCAAGGCTGGGAGGTCTGCAGCCTTGATTGCGAGAAGGAAATATAGGGTAGTGGTGACTGGCGACACTCTTCTGAGGGGAACAGAGGCACCCATCTCTTGCCCTGACATGTCATCTGGGGAGGTATGCTGTCTGCCAGGGGCCTGTATCTGAGACTTTATGGATTTCAGGAAGACAGAGTTTAGTAAACTCAGAGAGTTGAAAGATAAGGTCCTACAAGTATACTGGAAGCAAGAGGAAAACTAAAGACAGGGTAGGCCCATTGCTCAGTGAAGAGGGAGAAACAATAACAAGAAACTTGGAAATGGCAGAGGTGCTTAATGACTTCTTTGTTTCGGTCTTCACTGAGAAGTCTGATGATGAAGGAATGCCTAACAATGAATGCTAGTGGAAATGGGGTAGGTTTAGAAGTTAAAATAAAAAAGAACAAGTTAAAAATTACTTAGAAAATTAGATATCTTCAAGTCACCAGGGCCTGATGAAACGCATCCCAGAATACTCAAGGAACTTGGAGGTATCTGAGCCTTTAGTTATCATCTTTGAAAACTAATGGAAGTCAAGAGAGATTCCAGAAGACTGGAAAAGGGCGGATATAGTGCCCATCTATAAAAACGGAAATAAGAACAACCCAAGAAACTTCAGACCAGTCAGTTTAACTTCTGTACCAGGAAAGATAATGGAACAAGTAATTAAGGAATTAATCTGCAAACACCTGGAAGATAATAAAGTGACAGGTAACAGCCAATATGGATTTGTAAAGAACAAATCATGTCAAACCAATCTGATAGCTTTTTTTGATTGGATAACAAGCCTTGTGGATAAAGGAGAAGTGGTGGACGTGATATACTTGACTTTAGTAAGGCATTTGACACGGTCTTATATGACTTATCAATAAATTAGGGAAATACAACCTAAATGGGGCTACTATAAAGTAGGTGCATAACTGTCTGGATAACAGTTCCCAGAGAGTAGATATTAATGATTCACAATCATTCTGGAACGGTGTAACAAGTGGGGTTTCACAGGGTGTGTTTTGGGACTTTCCCTTGCAACAAACCCCGGTGCCAGCTTTCTCCACATATTTACTCTGCTGACACCATTATTGGACCTAACCATGCCAGTTACAAGATCAAGAACACATATTCCTGTTCATCCAGAAATATAATTTATGCCATCATGTGCCTAAAGTGTACGTCTGCTATGTACATTGGACAAACGTCTCAGACACTTCGCCAAAGAATCAATGCACACAAAACAGACATAAGACTCTCTCACAGAGAGAAAGCTGTTGCCTGCCATTTCAGCCAGACTGATCATTCACTTAATGACCTTAAAACATGCATATTGCTTCAAAGAGACTTTAACTCCAGATTTCAATGAGAAGCTTCAGAACTGTCATTCATGCTTAAATTTGACACTTTATGTATGGGTTTAAACAAAGACTCTAATTATCTCACCCATTACAAAGATAGCTTCCCCAATTATCACCCCTAATGTCATTACCGCAGAGAAACTTCCCCTATTATCACCCCATGTCATTACCTCACAGACACTAACCTTCCCCCCTCACCCCCCCTCTTTTCTAAAATTTGATTTGTCAATTTCACGTGTTCATTTTTTTGATTGTATCACTTTGGTATATGTGGTTGCGCTGATTTTCTTCCACATATCTATCTCACCCATTACAAAGATAGCTTCCCCAATTATCACCCCTAATGTCATTACCGCAGAGAAACTTCCCCTATTATCACCCCATGTCATTACCTCACAGACACTAACCTTCCCCCCTCACCCCCCCTCTTTTCTAAAATTTGATTTGTCAATTTCACGTGTTCATTTTTTTGATTGTATCACTTTGGTATATGTGGTTGCGCTGATTTTCTTCCACATATTGATGTGAGGAAGTGGGTCTGGCCCACAAAAGCTCATCACCTAATAAACCATCTTGTTAGTCTTTAAAATGCTACATACTTCTGTCTTTTGTTTCAGCTAGACCAGACTAAAACGGCTGCATCTCTATCAACGATTTAGATAAAGGCATAGAGAATATAATTATTAAGTTTGCAGATGATACCAAACCGGGAGGATTTGCAAGTGCTTTGGAGGATAGGGTCAAAATTCAAAACGATCTGGACAAACTAGAAAAATGGTCTGAGGTAAATAGGATGAAGTTTAATATGGACAAATGCAAAGTACTTCACTTAGGAAGGAACAATGAGTTTCACACATACAGAATGGGAAGTGATTGTCTAGGAAGGAGTACTGCTGAAAAGGATTTAGGTGTCACAATGGACAAGTTAATCGTGAGTCAACAGCGTGACGCTGTTTGTTGTAAAAAAGCAAACATGATTCTGGGATGCATCAATAGCAGTGTTGTGAGCAAGACACGAGAAGTCATTCTTCCGCTTCACTCTGTGCTGATTATGTCTCAGCTGGAGTATTGTGTCCAGTTCTGGGCACCACATTTCAAGAAAGAGGTGGAGAAATTAGAGGGTCCAGAGAAGAGCAATAAAAAAGATTAAAGGTCTAGAAAACATGACCTATGAGGGAAGACTGAAAGAATTGGCCTTGTTTAGTTTAGAAAAGAGAAGACTGAAGGGAGATATGATAGCAGTTTTCAAGTATCTAAAAGGGTGCTAAAAGGAGGAGGGAGAAAAATAGTTCTCCTTGGCCTCTGAGGATAGGACAAGAAGCAAGGGGCTTAAATTGCAGCAAGGGAGGTTTAGGTTGGACATTAGGAAAAACTTCCTGTCAGAGTGGTTAAACACTGGAATAAATTGCTTAGGGGAACTGGAATCTCCATCACTGGAGATATTTAAGAGTAGGATGGATAGACATCTATCAGGGATGATCTAGACCAGCGGTCGGCAACCTTTTCATCCCAAAGAGCCAAACTACATCAAAATTCAGAAGAAGTGGTCAACAAAGAGCCAAATAAGAAAGCCCCTATGCATGACTGTAAATATACAACTTAATATTAGTGATAATTGACAATGATAAATAGCAGCACAAAGGAAACACTGTACTCACAGACTTCTGCTGCTGCATCTTTTCACACATTTCTTTGAAGTTTACATCATAACTGGTCAAATCCAACTTTGTGCACACATTCAGCCTGTTTTTTGTCAATCTTGTGGCAGGGGGCTGGGGATGTGGGGGTGCAGGAGTTAGGGTTGCGGTGTATGAGGGGATCAGGGCAAGGGATTTGGGTGCATGATGGACTCAGTGCACAAGGCTGTGGTGGGGGATGCAGGACTGTTATGGCAGGGGACTGGGGATGGGGGTATGTTGGGCTCAGGGTTGGTGAGTGGGGGCTGCAGGAGTGTTATGATACTCTGGCCAGATGGGGGTGGGTCCCAATTGGGGGCTTGTTGGCCAGGCTTGTTTTTAAATAAAGTAAAAATACTATGTCCAACACAAAAGGTTTCAACATTGTTTTTATTTATGGCAGAGGTGAGGAACCTTTTTTGGGTTGGGGACCACTTACCCACAGAAAAATCAGTCCGGGTCCACACAAATGAGAAGCAAAAAGTCCTCTAAACCACCCCAACTCTCACTGATGAGGCCCCCAACTGAAACACCTCACTCCCGTGGTGCTTCATCCCCATGGTGGGGGGAGGGACAGGGAGGACTGAGGTTCAAGGCCTCAGGCCAGGTTTACTCTTCTGGGGTTCCAGGGTTAGTGGATTTTGTGTCCCCCCCCCAGGCTCTGGGGTGGGGCCAAAAATGAGGGGTTAAGTGTGAGGGACAGGGTTGCCAGTGAATGGGATAGGGATGGGGGTGCAGGATCTGGGTAGGAGATAAGGTGTAGGAGGGGTGAGGGTGCGAGATCTAGGTGGGAGGTAGGGTGCAGGAGCGGGTTGGCAGTAGGGTGTTTGGCCAGGGACATGCAGCAGGAGTGCACTGGGGGCAGGGTATCTGGCTAGGATGCAGGAGTGGGCTGGGGGTAATGAGTCTGGCCAGGGGGCAGGAGCGTACTGGGGGCAGGCTGTCTGGCCGGGGGGGGGGGAGGGGGGAAGGGAGTATGGGGTCTGGGGTTGGGAGGAGCCACTTACTTGCTTTCACACCACATGTAACACGCCCCTCGCTGCTCCGATTCACCAGGCAGGATTTGCAGGGAAAGCCTCCAGAAACTGTTTCCCAGGAGAAAGACAATGGCAGCACATGGAGCCATTTTTGCTTCCTGGTTTCCCGCACACCGGGAGAAGGAAAAGGGCGGCACATGGAGCCTTTTTGTTACCCGTACGCCAGATCCAGCAAGGAGGCTCAGGGCTTTCTCTCCCCATCCTGCTCCCTCTCCCCTTCAGGAACCTGGTGCTGGTGTTCCAATCTTGTTGGAGGCAGTTAGGCTGTAGCACCAGCATTGGCTCCCTGCTGTGAGGGCAGCTGGGGGGCTGAGTTGGGGCTCCAGAAGAGCCATATCTGGCTTACGAGGCATAGGTTGCCGACCCCTGATCTAGACAGTGCTTGGTCCTGCCTTGAGGGCAGGGGACTGAATTCAATGTCCTCTCGAGGTCCCTTCCAGTTCTAGTATTCTATGATTCTACCTTTTGTTTCACTAAGCCACTGCCTGACCCCTTCCCACAGTATTTAAAACAATGGAAGTAATCTAAATATCAGTTAAGGCAAACACAATACATAAACTGAAAGTGGAAAACAGCAGGCAAGGAAACGCCATTATTTCTGGAGAGAACATCAGGACAGAGGTGATGGGTGATCCCTGAGAAGTCCTGTTAAAAAGCTGCGAAGTGCAGTGTCTGTTTCTATTTACTCTGAACAATTTATTTTGATGTTAGGCTTATTTTTTCTAATGGCAGAAAGCACACGGAAGTAATCCTTTCACAACTAACCCAATTCAATCTCTCACACAGCCCCCTCCTCGCCTCGGTGCCCGTTAGGGAGGGCTGAAGATCCCCCGCCCCCAATTTGTATGGAGAACATTGCTGGCTTTTCCTCTGTCAGGGAGCAAGGGGAAGTTTACCGTTTGCTGCATTCCTCATTCTGGTTGAAGAGCACAGGGGGCAGAAGAATCTGGATCCACCCCAGCTGGGAGACATGCACCCCTCCCCTGGCTGTGCCCACGGAAACTGCATGGAGAGGCACTTCTAGCCTGGCCCCACAACATGCACCCCTCCCCTGGCTGTGCCCATGGCAGCTGCATGGAGAGGCACTTCTAGCGTGGCCCCACACTGCTGTGGTGAGAGAGAGCTGCGGCAGTCCTCTCTCGCTGGGGCAGCCTGCATACTGAACCCTTCATCCCCAACCGCGAGCAATAATTTAAATGAAGCATGGACATTTTCATTTTATTTTCCAAAAACCAAAATTAATTGAGTTAAGGACTCAAGCAACAATGGGTAAATCTAGTTCTTTACAAAGAAGTGGGTTGGGGACCTCTTCCAGTAAGAGCAAGTGGAGACCAGTCTCATCATAGCCCAACCTGCTAGGAGAGAGCTAATCACCCAGACCCATTGGCAAGAATGGGATGGTGGTGGTTTAAGTCATACTCCTCTGGTCCCAGAGGAGGTTGGGACGGAGTACATGGAAGTGTGCGTGCGGAATCACTGCAAAGGTCACACGGCCCTCAAGAAGTGGCTGCACAGGCATCAGTGTTGGTTAGAGGGGGTGTGTGGGGGCAGGCAGCAGAGAGTCAGGGATTAGGGGATAGGGAAGGATTTGGGGGTAAGGGAATCAATTTGAGGTTTGGAGATGTCAGGCTGGTGTGTTACCTACCAGCTCTGTGTTCTTGGGGAACCAAGACATGGACACCTGTCAGCCCTGTGTTCTTGGGGAGCCAGGGCATGATGCTCATGGAAGACACTCCCCTCCCCAGGGCCTCTGCATGAACCAATGACAAAGGAATGAAAAAGCAGAGGAACACACACCTAAACCCCTCTGGAGAAATGTGATAGGATTAAGGGAACACCCCAGCCTCATCTGCATCCCAGATTGAACAGACAGACATTCATATTAGCATACAGAATGGAGAAGAGCACTTCCAAAACAAGCACACTGAACAATAGCGCGTCACCTATTAAACCATCTTGTTAGTATTTAAAGTGCTACATAATTTTTCCTTTTGTTTTGACTGAACAATGGGATACTGAAAGCGGAAAAGCACTGTCTGGTGGGAAATCTCTGCTCTGGATGCTAATGAACCCATGCCTGCTCCCACCCAGATCATTAATTATCAGACCAATTTTAGTAATAGATCCTCTATTGATAAGGAAAATAGTGAAACTGCCTAATTGCATGATGAGCTCTCTCAAGGAACACCACCCACAGCCAGGAATGATCAGTTTCTATTGAGCCTAAACAAAACAACTTTAGAATAGTCCCCTCAACTATCTATGTACCCATAAACAAATCCAGTGTTCCTTTTGAACCATGTTTAAGTCCCTACAAAAACTCCTACCCTTGCTCAAGAAAACTGTTCTGATGCCTGGATCTAAAGTCTGCTTCAGTTCCATTGGGACTTCTCCTCCTGACTGACTGCACTGGGGGCTCTGTTCTGCCTGTCTCCAACACTCTGGACTCCAGCTGCCATCACCATCTGGGAACCTGGATTAAGCTTCACAGACTG